GATTACTGTTAATTTATTATGTTGATCTGTTCTGTACGACATCTATTGCACGTCTGTCCGTCCTGGAAGAGGGATCCCTCCTCAGTTGCTCTTCCTGAGGTTTCTACCGTTTTTTTTCCCCGTTAAAGGGTTTTTTTGGGGAGTTTTTCCTGATCAGCTGTGAGGGTCATAAGGACAGAGGGATGTCGTATGCTGTAAAGCCCTGTGAGGCAAATTGTGATTTGTGATATTGGGCTTTATAAATAAAATTGAATTGATTAGCTGCTGTGTGCTAACGGTCAGTAAACCAGTTTATTCTGGACACTGGAGCTCTGAGTGTGAGAGAAAAGCTGTAAAGAGTCTCCGAGGAGAACAAACAGGAAACAGTTAATTTCTTCTTCTCTGCTCTAAATACCACACACTGATCATTAACTGGTGTGTACACACACGCACAAACAGTGAGGACATTCAGAAACTACTAAAGCAAAACAAAAATCAAATAATAATTAACCATTATTTAATGAGGAAAAACAACAGGAGGAGGAGGAAGATGAGGAGGAGGAGGAGGAAGAGAGGGAGGAGGAGGGGGAGGAAGATGAGGAAGAGGAGGAGGAAGAGGAGGGGGAAGAGAGGGACAAGGAGGAGGAGGAAAAGGAGGAAGGGAAGGAACACGAGGAAGAGGAGAAAGAGCAGGAAGAGGAGGGGGAAGAGAGGGAGGAAGATGAGGAGGAAGATGAGGAAGAGGAGGAGACAAGGAAGCACAGGAAGTAGAGAAGAAGAAGTGTCCGAGGGACAGGAAGTAGAGAAGAAAAAGTGTCTGAGGGACAGGTAGTTGTATGGTGTCTGACCTCGGCCATTGTCGCGGATCTCCTGGACTACTAACTTGTAGTTGACATTGTCGGGTTCAATGATGTGGTCGTGGATGGTGACGTTGTGTTTCTCAAGCACTGTGAAAAGCCCCTCCACAGCGAAGTAGCACGGCCGGTCGTCGTTGGCGTCCTTCTTGTCGCTGAAGATGAGCATGGTATGCTGCCGCCAGCCAAATGTGTCCTGGATCTTTGCACCAAACTCTCCCAGCTTCTGATGGGTGGGGCCCGTGTTGGTGACCGCCGTGTAGGACTTGAAACCAATAGCGCGAGCGCCGGCCGTCACCATGGGAACGTCCCAATGGGTGGTGAAGCGTGCGACGGGAGACGACGAGTAGTCACAGCCAGGGCCGATGAAGGCCCAGGGGTCGTTGAATAGCTTGAGGTCGACGGCGACCAGTGGTGCAATGTAGTCTGAGCAGAAACCCTCGCGGTTCTCGGAGTTGCCGTGAACCAGCTGCAGCTTCAGGCCCAGCAGCAGGCGGGGGTCTGAGTTAACACGCCGCACCGCCTGGAGGAGCGCTGGCGCCACGCGAGGCCACGCCCATGCGTAATCTGTGTTAGTCAGAGGCAAGATGGCCGCCAGGGTCACCTCCTGAAGGTCATCCGTGGTGTTGTCAGCGGACAGAGAGGACGCAGCCGATTGGACGAGGAGGAAGAGGAAGAGGGTCAAGGGGCAGGGCCACCCGGACAACATGATGACGAGCCTGTCAGACGAGCTGCGGGGAGAAACAGAACAACGACATTAACTAAGGTCAAACCTTCAAAATAAAACGTTGCTGGGAATTCTGGGAACTCAGTGAGTCCCTGTGTGTCTGTGGGGACAGTAAAGTCCATCACCCTCTGTCCTGATGTTTCAGCTCAGAGACAGAATCACGGACCAGTTTTCACTAAAGACATTCCTGAGGGTCAGATTCCAGAAATCTGGATATGTTCACAACTTTAATGTGGGGACAGTATTGATCGTCGCGTCAGTGGTGGGGGAACATCTCACAGAGTCACACACAATCAACCCACTTCCTGTCCCACCCCCACCACCTGCTGCCAAAACAAAGTAGAGAGGCGTAGATTCAACCCCGCCAGTGTTACCAACGGGCCGCGCCACCATGAAGTCAGTGTTGCCAGATCTCGCGAGACAAATAAGCAACCAGACCTGTGAAAACAAGCCCAAAACAAGCGACTTTTTCTACGGAGCCCCCCGAGGTTCCGGTGAGAGAAAATTAAATAAACTGTGTGCACGGTTTTACAGTCCGTGGGGACGGATTTTAAACTGTGGGTACAGATTGTCAATTTACATCCATGTGGACAGATAAGTAAACTGTGCGCAGTTTTGCAAAACTGTACCCACAGTACACAGTTTATTTATTTTTCTCCCCCCTGAGCTTCAGGACAATGACCACAAGAGGGAGTTAAACCACCTTTTAACATTATTTAACATTAGAAAACAGATGGGATATCAAATATAGACTGATGTACCAAGTACATTATATACACAGTAAACCTCTGATAATTAAGATTTGCACACACAAATAAATATCACCCTGAATTCACAAATTCTTTATTTATTATTGCTTTTTATGCACTCATCTTGGGACGTTTTCCTAACCAGAAAAAAAAACACATTGCCCTGCTCTGCCTCTGATTGGCTGGTACTCGTTGCCATCAGGGTCAGAGACAATTAGAAGCAGGATGCGGGTGGGAAAAAACTCTGCTGTCTCCTGTGTGTATGGAGAAAGGGGAGGGACAGAGGGAACAGGCAAGACAAACTATCCTACGTTTAAATAACATATCGAAAATATCTGCTTGACAACTTATTATGGAGCTGGGAACAAGCCCAAATAAGCAACTACGCTTTAGAAACAAGCCCAGAAAAACTGTGACCCGCGACTACCAATATTTGTAAGTGACTTTACAGAAAAACAAGCCCAAAGTCGCTTATAATGAGCGGACTTGGCAACACTGCATGAAGTAAAGGTGCAGGTGCTGATACTGCAACCAGAGAGAAGAACCTGAGACCAGTCAGTCAGCTGGACGGGCTTCAACCTGATGACTGGAGGTGATGGTCATCCCTGATCATGTAGGCTACCTGCCCACCATTAAGGGACGAGGGGGAGGAGCATAATAACAATAATCAATAAATGAACTGATGAATGTATTGATTGACTGAGCTGTGATGTCAGTCTGACCTCTGTTTGACCTCCGTGATGATGTCACAGTGACACGCACACACACGCATGCACGCACACACGCACGCACACACACACACACACACACACACACAGTGGTGTTTGAGGTCATTATCAGAAACACTTCATCAGATTGTTTTTCAGAGGATAAAAACTGACATGATATGATGACATCACTTCCTGTAAACATCTTTCCTGCTGTTAAACCTCCGAACTCACCGAGTCTATTTCATGATGTCTACACGTCATTACAACTTCCTGCAGGAAACACTGTGTGTGTGTGTGAGCCATTGTTCTCCAGGCTTATATAAGTGTTGTTGTGAAACAGCAGCAGTGAAGAAGAAATACGACACCAAAAAACCTGAAAATACGACATCAGCCGTGTTCCTGTTCCCTCAGACTGAGCTGTTTATATCTCCACAGGGAGCAGGTCCTCGTCTACAGAGATCACCATGTTGCACCGCCATGTTTCTACAGTAGCCCAGAACGGACAAACCAAACACTGACTCTAGATAGAGACATTCATGTTGTCACGTTGGACACTAGAATTAGCACCGTTGCATAAATACTGAATTCTAACCTGAACTGTCCGTGACAGCTGTTACACCATTTGTGGGGCGCAAATTCATCGGATATCTTACAAACTTTTCTTTGAGAAAATCACACAAAAACTCAAACCCACTTTGGGTCTGTTTTCTTAAAAAATCCTGGAAATTAAAAAAAAACAACCCCCCAAAAACTTAAGAAAAAAACAAACAAACAAACAAAATAAACCTTCTCAATTTTTCTTAAAACAATCCCCAGAAATTAGAAATAAAGGCAAAAAAATTCAAAGAAAGAAAAATTGGCAAGATTTATTCAAGAAAACAAACTAGAACCAACTTTGGGTTTGGAAGGCATTTTTGTCAAAACAACAACAAAAAAAAACTGGGAGAAAAAAAACATTAAAAGAAAAAAAATTCTTTTTTTTAAATAAAAGAGTTTTTTGCAGAAAAACAAATCGTCACAATATTTACAAATAAACAAGCCCTCTCATGTTTTCTTCAAAAATCCCTCAAAATTTGAAAAAAGGCACAATTTTTTTTTTTTAAAGAAAAAAAAAATCACCAACATTTTTAAAAATCAATTGTCAAACTTTTTTTGAAGAAAAGGGACATTTTTTATTTGGCAAAAATAAAGGCAAAAACATTTAAGCATGCCCTCCAAACCCACCCTGGATGAGAAGGTTGGTTTTCTTTAAAAAATGGCCTCAAAAAAGGCAAAAAAAAAAGAAAGACAAAAAAAATCACCCAAAAATTTTAAAGGGAAAAAACTGCTAAAAGTTTTTAAAAGAAGAAACTGGTCATCTGAACCAGCTTGGGTTTAAATAGCATGTACGTTATGAACGTATTTTATTCTGAAAGTTTTGACAAAGTTGATTCTAGGTCTGGAAAAAAAAAAACTTTTTCAGGAACTTCCTGTAACACCTTTACGCCACAGACCAGTTTTTGCTTTTGATACGTCACTGACACCTTCAGGTGTTTTAAGGCGAAGAAAAACCAACATTGATGTTACGTGTCAACTGACCCCGTTCTCCCCTATCACGCAGACTCGGCTTTTGGACTGCAGTAAAAGTACCGCGCGCGCGCGTGCGCGTGCGTGTGCGAGGGAGGTGAGTTTACCTGTTCAGATCTTCACTCAACTGCTTCCGGCCGCTCCATGAAGATGAAGAAGATGAAGAAGAAGAAAATATTTCCACAGCAACCGACCGGACAAAGACCGAACACACCGATATATGTTCACGTTTCACCGCCACAACGCTGCTGTCTGTCCCTCTGTGTGTCCCTGTCTGTCCCTCTGTGTGTCCCTGGTTCTGTCCCTCTGTGTGTCCCTGGTTCTGTCCCTATGTGTGTCCCCTCCTGTTCACTGCTCCAGCTCTGCAGCTCCGCTCCGTCCACACACACCGATAGCTGCCACCGGCGGACACGCGCACACATGCACGCACTGAGAAGGAGGAGGAGGCGGGGGCGGGGGGGTGTAGTAGAGGGCACGAGGGCAGTCACGATAACGCTGACGGTGCATGTGCGCGTGCACGTCTCCTCTGTCCCCCTGTGTGCGGAGGGAAGATTGAATTACAGAGACGAGCTGTCAGTTACTGTGATTTAGAGTCTGCTGCGTATTTGTCACAGCAGCTGGTTTAATCAAAACATTTGACAGAAAACAAATCATCAGATTATTTTTAAACAAAACATGTCTTCCAAACTCACCTCGTCTTCTGAGGGCAAGTTTACTTTAAACATCCCCAAAAAAAATTAGAGAAAAAAAGAAGTCTTTTTTTAAAGAATAAATGCCCAACATTTTCTTAAAAGGCAAACAATTATTTTTAAAAAGTCACGTTTTTTTAATATGACCCACCCCAAAACAAATTTCGATTTGAAAATCAAAGGCTAATTTCTGTGTGGTTACAGTAATTTTTCTGGCATGCTGGGCAAGTTTTTAAAGAAAAACAAACATGCCCAAAAATTTTATAAAGGCACATTTTTTTAAACAAAGAAAAAAAGAAAAAAGAATCACTTTTAAAAATAAAACACGGCCAGAACTTTAAAATGAAAAAAATAGCAAAATTAAAATGAAATCGTCACATTTATGTCAAAAAAACATTCCCAGAAATTAAAGCAAAAAGGGCAAAAGTTTTAAGAGAAAGAACAATCTTTTTTAAAGATGCCCAAAAATTTCAAAAGGCAAAAAAAAAAATCACTTTTTTTTTAAAAATATAAAAAATGAAACTGTCCTAAACCAAGAAAAAGATAAAATCTGAAAAAAGTCAATTTTTAAAGAAAACATGTCCAAAACTTTAAAAAGAGAAAAAGGTTTTTAAAAAAATATTTGGTTGTGATGTCACAATCAGTGTGTGTGTGTGTGTGTGTGTGTTGTTCATTAAGTTAATAATGAACAACACACACACACACACACACACACACACACACACACACACACAACCCACTGAGTGTGTGTGTGTTTAAACAGGATACACCCGGTGGACCAGGAAGTCTCTTAGTAACACACACACACACACACACACACACACACACACTGTACCTCTTCCTGGAAACGACCACCACACACACTCTTCCTCCCACTCTCTCTGTCCTCATACTGAAAACACTCGTTTGTTCTTCAGTGTTTCTTTTGTCTGACGGCAAATGCTGCCCTCGAAAGCAGCGACTCCAGCTGAGCACAGGACGCTCTGCGATTTTTTTTTTAACCTTTATTTAGCCAGGCAAGTCATTAAGAACAGTTTCTTATTTACAATGGCGGCCTGGCAAAAGGCAGAGCCTCTTGAGGGAAGGAAGTGACACAACAGAATGTTCTGCAGAGAACGTCAACACGCAAACTGAATCTCTGCAGGTTGTTGATCAATTTTACTTTATCATGTAACGACTGGCCTGATGATGGCTAAAGGACAAACTAACGACAGGCCTGATGACAGCTAAAGGACGAGCTAACGACAGGCCTGATGACGGCTAAAGGACAAACTAACGACAGGCCTGATGACAGCTAAAGGACGAGCTAACGACAGGCCTGATGACAGCTAAAGGACGAGCTAACGACAGGCCTGATGACAGCTAAAGGACAAACTAACGACAGGCCAGATGACGGCTAAAGAACAAACTAACGACAGGCCAGATGACGGCTAAAGGACAAACTAACGACAGGCCTGATGACGGCTAAAGGACAAACTAACGACAGGCCAGATGACGGCTAAAGAACAAACTAACGACAGGCCAGATGATGGCTAAAGGACAAACTAATGACAGGCCAGATGACAGCTAAAGGACAAACTAACGACAGGCCTGATGACAGCTAAAGGACGAGCTAACGACAGGCCAGATGACAGCTAAAGGACGAACTAATGACAGGCCTGATGACAGCTAAAGGACAAACTAATGACAGGCCTGATGACAGCTAAAGGACAAACTAACGACAGGCCAGATGACAGCTAAAGGACGAACTAATGACAGGCCAGATGACAGCTAAAGGACAAACTAATGACAGGCCAGATGACAGCTAAAGGACGAACTAACAACGGGCCAGATGACGGCTAAAGGACGAGCTAACGACGGGCCTGATGACGGCTAAAGGACAAACTAACGACAGGCCAGATGACGGCTAAAGGACAAGCTAACAACGGGCCAGATGACGGCTAAAGGACAAGCTAACAATGAGCCAGATGACAGCTAAAGGACGAGCTAACGACGGGCCTGATGACAGCTAAAGGACAAGCTAACGACAGGCCAGATGACGGCTAAAGGACGAGCTAACGATGGGCCAGATGACAGCTAAAGGACAAGCTAATGACAGGCCCGATGACGGCTAAAGGACGAGCTAATGACGGACCTGATGATGGCTAAAGGACAAGCTAATGACGGGCCTGATGACAGCTAAAGGACGAGCTAATGACGGGCCTGATGACAGCTAAAGGACAAACTAACGACAGGCCTGATGACGGCTAAAGGACGAGCTAATGACGGACCTGATGACAGCTAAAGGACAAGCTAATGACGGGCCTGATGACGGCTATAGGACAAGCTAATGACGGGCCTGATGACAGCTAAAGGACGAGCTAATGACGGACCTGATGACAGCTAAAGGACGAGCTAATGACGGACCTGATGACAGCTAAAGGACGAGCTAATGACGGACCTGATGATGGCTAAAGGACAAGCTAATGACGGGCCTGATGACGGCTATAGGACAAGCTAACGATGGACCTGATGACGGCTAAAGGACGAGCTAATGACGGGCCTGATGACAGCTAAAGGACAAACTATCGACGGGCCTGATGACGGCTAAAGGACAAGCTAATGATGGGCCTGATGACAGCTAAAGGACAAACTAACGATAGGCCTGATGACGGCTAAAGGACGAGCTAATGACGGACCTGATGATGGCTATAGGACAAGCTAATGACGGGCCTGATGACAGCTAAAGGACGAGCTAATGACGGACCTGATGACAGCTAAAGGACGAGCTAATGACGGACCTGATGACAGCTAAAGGACGAGCTAATGACGGACCTGATGATGGCTAAAGGACAAGCTAATGACGGGCCTGATGACGGCTATAGGACAAGCTAACGATGGACCTGATGACGGCTAAAGGACGAGCTAATGACGGGCCTGATGACAGCTAAAGGACAAACTATCGACGGGCCTGATGACGGCTAAAGGACAAGCTAATGATGGGCCTGATGACAGCTAAAGGACAAACTAACGATAGGCCTGATGACGGCTAAAGGACGAGCTAATGACGGACCTGATGATGGCTAAAGGACAAGCTAATGACGGGCCTGATGACAGCTAAAGGACAAACTAACGACAGGCCTGATGACGGCTAAAGGACGAGCTAATGACGGGCCTGATGATGGCTAAAGGACGAGCTAACGACGGGCCTGATGACGGCTAAAGGACGAGCTAACGACAGGCCTGATGACAGCTGAAGGACAAGCTACCGACAGGCCTGATGACGGCTAAAGGACGAGCTAACGACAGGCCTGATGACGGCTAAAGGACGAGCTAATGACGGGCCTGATGATGGCTAAAGGACGAGCTAACGACGGGCCTGATGACGGCTAAAGGACAAGCTACCGACAGGCCTGATGACAGCTGAAGGACAAGCTACCGACAGGCCTGATGACGGCTAAAGGACGAGCTAATGACAGGCCTGATGACGGCTAAAGGACGAGCTAATGGTGGGCCTTATGATGGCTAAAGCACAAGCTAAGGATGGGGCTGATGACGGCTAAAGGACGAGCTAATGACAGGCCTGATGACAGCTGAAGGACAAGCTACCGACAGGCCTGATGACGGCTAAAGGACGAGCTAATGACAGGCCTGATGACGGCTAAAGGACGAGCTAATGGTGGGCCTGATGATGGCTAAAGCACAAGCTAAGGATGGGCCTGATGACGGCTAAAGGACGAGCTAATGGCGGGCCTGATGATGGCTAAAGCACAAGCTAAGGATGGGCCTGCTGACAGCTAAAGGACGAGCTAACGACGGGCCTGATGACGGCTAAAGGACAAGCTACCGACAGGCCTGATGACAGCTGAAGGACAAGCTACCGACGGGCCTGATGACGGCTAAAGGACGAGATAATGACGGGCCTGATAACGGCTAAAGGATGAGCTAATGACGGAACAACAACAGCCGAAGACCACCCAACCGTTCCAAAGAATGTCCAGGTGAAGACAGTTAAATGTCCGTCTCTTTATTGTAAACTGACACAATCAATAACCAATCAGCTGCAGGATTATGATAATGTAATGATGATGTCACTGATTAAATAATGAAATATAAGGAAGTGATTTTTAATTCATGAATCATTGTCTCATCTTCAGATGGACGTCATCACAGCGAACGTCTCAGTCCTCTCCGTCCACTCTGTCCCTGCTGGTGGACCCGGTCTCTCCATGTGGTCTGTCTCCAGGTGTTGGACCAGGTACTCTCTCCTGGTGAACGTCCTCCTGCAGAGTCCACAGTAGTGAAGTCTGTCCCCGCTGTGGACCTTCAAGTGTCTCTCCAAACTCTCCTTTCTGCTGAAGTCCCGTCCACAGAATCCGCAGCGGTACGGCTTCTCACCGGTGTGGACCCGTTTGTGTATCTCCATCCTCCTGATGGAGCTGCACTTCCTACCGCACACATCACAGGTGCTGCCCACCTCTTTGTGAGACCTCAGGTGGTCTCTCAGGGTCTCAGTGGACTCCAGACTGTCCCCGCAGGCCCCACACCGGTTCTCGGGCTCCTTGCAGTGGTTCTCCGCATGGCGGACCAGGATGCCCTGCGTGTAGAAGGAACTGCCACAGACTCGGCAGCTGAAGGACTTGGCAGGACTCTGGAAGGGCGCCATCTGTCTCCGCAGGCTGCAGGACATCCTGTCCTGGTCCTGGGACGTGTTTCGTCTAATGTGTTTCCTCAGAGTCCGCTTTGAGCTGAACTCTCGTCCACAGCTGCCACAGACCA